TTACAATTCTCCATTAATTTTGAGCAAACCCAGACTTTCTAGGAGAAATTTCTGAGTGACTCCATGTCTTTTTAACCAGAACCCAGTGTGGCCACATGCTTGGGCACAACCTAGAATACTATTCCATCATTTATCACTCTCGCCACTCAAGCCATTACAAAAGCTCACCCATTGAAGCAAAAAAACACCCCTCCTCCCCATCTGGTTAATCGAATTTCAAATTATCGAATTCGATTCATCTATGCGGTAGCGGTGGCGACGGGAATTGAAATGGTTTGGTTGGAATAACATCCATCGACATGGTTTACATCGGCGCAGACGAGGGTAATGGGTGTGTCTGCGGATCTGAGAACTTTTCCTGCATTGCTGTGTGAGGAATGGTATATTAGCATTTATCTTTGCGAAAGGGAAATTTCAATTTCCCCGGACCCAACTTGGTGAATTCGGTGTGGAAATTGAGGGAGAGGGAGGGGGCGAGGAATAACGTACTCATTACCAACGAAACCATGAATCAGCTCAATACTGAATTGAGTAAGGGATGTGTATTCAGTAAATTGCCAGTAGAAATCATCCATCAAATTGCCGTTGTTATTGCAGGGCACCCATCCGGTAGGGAATAGAGTAGTTTGAGGTGAGCCTAGGAAATCATCGTTGCAGGCTGTGGAAGTATTGCTGTTGGGGTCGATGAAGGTGACTATTTACTTTTGTTAGTTGGAAATTTCAATGATTTGGTGGCGAATTGTGAATTTGAATCTAAAAACAATAACTAGGACGTGCACAGTTGTTGGAGACAACGAATGGAGTGAACAAAAGAGTAAACATACAAGAAATGGAATCATCATAAACGACGGTTCCATTACTCTTGTCAACAGCAGATCTAGTAACGATGCCCTCGATAATCATGTTCTGGATGGCAGAACTAGAAGCAGGGGCAGCAGCATGGACGGTATTGAGCTTCAAATTGAATTTCTTTTGGGAACCACGGGCAGCAATGCGAGGCTTTTGAACGGAGATAGCTTCTGCTGTGGCCAAAAGACCGACGGCGACACTGAGAAGCTTGGAGAATTGCATTTTGAAGTTTTATGATTGTTTTGATAGGACTGAAAGGATCGAGAATTCAAACAGGTTCGATTGTAGATCGAAGTATGGGAAGAGGTAGGTAGGTATTAAAAAGAATGAATGGATTGTGATGATTGTAGTTGTGGATGAGAGAAAACAGGATGTTGATCCGGAGACCAGGTGAGGTTGATATATGATGAAATATAAATCGACCACAAGCGAATCGGTTGCAAGCAAAGGAATAAAGTAGGCAGCAACTAAAGCAAAGCACAAGCAAAGGATAAAAATAAAATTGCAGATCCCCTGATCTAATTAGTGAGGCAGGTACAAAGTGAAAATGTCCACTATGGTGCAGTACAATGAAGATCGAATCATACGACAAACGGGATTTGGACCATGGAAAAGTTGAAGGCTGGAAACTTCTTGTTTTACAAGAATCTCTCGGACCGGACGATATGTAGAGGAGTAATAGGGATTGAGTAATGAAATAATAGGGGACCAATTTGTTTTGTTTCGTTTCCTTCCTTAAGGTTTGCAGTTCTTTTGTACTACTGCTGCATATACAGATGCATCTGGTGGGAAACACGGAAAGAGGAAAGAAACATTATGATCAGCCTGCCTCTGAGATCCTACCATCACTTTGATCCATGAGTGCTCCATAATTCATCCATCGCCATTCTCCAATTGTAATTCCGAATCGACCAGAGGCATGAACAATACGCATTGTTGTCTTAATTGTCCATGGTTCTCTCAAAATTTCACGAGTGAAGGATGAGCAACAAAGCGGTTGAGGAAAGGATTCACGTCAAATATCAATTGGTATTCACATATTAGAGTAGCCTTAGCCGCTACCATCATAGTGTTTTCCCTGGCTAAACCCCTGGCTAGGAGAATAAGAGAGGTCTAACGAAAGGAGGATGGTCCTTGTGAAGTTGTAGTATGCTTAAGTAACCTGCAACTCGACCGCCCGGTACCTGAATAACTTTAATATATGGATCTTGGCATTCGGATCTTAAGATGGAGATCTTCAAGATTGGACGAAGATCCAGGAGCTTTTGAGTGTATTTGAAACGTTGGGCGTTCTGGTAGAACATGGAATGGTTTTGCGGGGCAGAGGCAGCAAGTGCTGTTTTGGTGCTTCCGTGAATCGTATGACATACCTACCTGGGCTCCTAGGTACCTGGGATGTACCTTCTGGCGGATTGCTGTGCTTATGATTCTTGGATGAAGAAAAGGGGTTGATGGTTTTCTTTCTCTCGTCAACCATCAAAGCGATCGGAATTGGCCTCTTGATGTGTTATCTTCGTAATAAGAGATGAGGGTTTTGCGTTTCTGCATTCATCATATCGAAAGACGCCGAATGATATGCCGGTAGAGTGCGCACTTTGTTCGCTGTACATTAGCACTACTACGCTGAGGCTATGCAAAATAAATTGAAAAAAATGCGGAGATCTTCAATGCTGTCATCCAAAGGTCTCCAATCAACCAAGATTGGCATAGATCTACCGCAGATTTGAGCCCCCATTTTACCAAGGGAAGTAACAAATAACGGGAGCTGACCCTGAAAGGGTCGCGGGGTTTCCTTCATTCCTTGATCTTGGCTTTACAAATCTACAAACTCTACGATAGAGTTACAATGACTATTCTCATAGCTTCCTTTCTGCTGTCATCCGGATAAGCCAACGTCTTCTCCATCCATCATGGGAACAGTGTTATTGCCGCAGCTGCAGATTAATCTTTCTAATTATCGAACATCAGACGTCCTGAAATCAAGATTTGAGTCTCCCGCTCACCGATATTTCCTCCTTTACACAATTGTTCGACGAGTTGACAATTTATCCGAAAGGCAGGTATATTTTTAGAATGCTCCCTTGAAAAATTACTTTTGAGTCATCAAGTAAGTCATCAGAGGCGCTGGATGAAACGGGTATTGGGACGAAGGAAATTGTTAAGGCTGGAATCTCATGATTTATCTTACATGGCGGCGCGCCGGTAATACAGCATATGCCGTTACCGGTGTGAATGACAGCCCAATACCATTCGTCTAACAGTCGGACATTCATTCACAGGAATACGTATCCAGCCACGGAGCAGAGCTTCAATGGTCGCACCAAATCTCCTCACTGTATGCACGGTAACTTCATGGACAAACTGACAACCCGGGGCATCTCGAGCTACATATCCAACCCCCAAACCTCACGAGGGTCCGACTTCCAAGCCTACATAGCTCGGAGAACAGGTGTAGATTTCTCGATATATCATTTACTCCTATGCAACACTCCGGGACTTCTCGGCTCAATTGAATTTTGGTTGCACTTTAATCAAATGCCAGCTTGTGGCCAACGGACCATTTTTCACCACGTTATTCATGGAAGAATTCGCCTGAATGAATGCAGGTGTTAGGTCAAGCTTTTCTTCTCGTGCTTCGGAAGAATTTCTAAAAATACCCAGCGTACCTTAGCTTTCTCTTGGTTTTCTGTGCCCTTTCGAGAAAGAAAATGTTGCAATTGTTGATTGAGCCTTTCATTGACCATGGATTTTCAATAGTCAAATGCCAAGCAAGGTGTTTGAGGGAGATGTCGATACTAAAGTCTGCAGAGCTTCTTAGCATCGCCGTTGATAGTACACGAACAGGTGATGAGACAATTTCATGAGATCAGCTAAGACAATAATAATGTAGGGCGTAAAGTCTTTGCGTTCACTAATCCTCCAGCGCGTACGGTGGTGAATGAAATACCTATGAAATTGGATACATCGCCTAAATAATTATAACATCCACCAGCACCACTAAGACGTCGTCGACACCAAGATATTATCATTATCTCTTATCTACAGGCTTCTGAGTTGGAATCGCTGATCTTGCGGTTAACACCCAGATTCTGACATCCAACTGGTCTCTTCTACTCGCCTTCATTGCCAACATATTCCTGGTCTAGTTATCTGCTCTTGTTTCTCTGCTCAATTACAATTAGATCCAAGTAATAAATCATATTGGCAATCCTTCCTAACCTTCATAGATAGGCAATGCTTCCGATTAAATCTCGTGGTGATCTTCTTGTCATCTCAAGAAACATCAATAGTTAATCCTACGTTAATCCACTTTCATCCAATACATGAACCATATCTATCTGTCTTTTGCGTTGGCTTGATGCATCCAGTCTAATACACATGTAAGCTGAGCATGCCTCTGCATACATACGTAGATACATACATACACACATGCTCGAATGTCAATATCTAATATCAACTCCAATAGCAATAGCAAGATTCAAGATTCTGCTCACCTAGGTAGCTTTGGATGAAAGATGACAAGAAACGAGAAGCAATAAACGATGGAATCAAGATGATACTGAGAAATATCAAGGAAATTGAAGTTCGCTGTCGAGTAATATGTTACATCGCATAAACCCAGCCTTTTATTCCAACAACGTCGAACCGCCGCAATCCCAATTGATTCGTCCATCTTCACGCTTTAGAACGAATTCATCCTAAACTATTTTACTTCGCCCCCTTATCCCCTCATCCCCTGGTCCAAATGGCTCCAAATTGATCCAAAACTGCTTTACAAAGTTACCCCAGCTGCATCTCTAAACATTAAGTTGACCCGGTTTGTGAGTATCAATGCTATTATTATCTTTTTGGCTTCACATTGATTTTCTGGGAACACTTCTGTATCATCCTCCAACTGGGCACCATACCAAAAACATATTCCGAATCGTCTTTTCATGCTAAGGTAATCAATCTTGTTTGAACTTTGAAGGCGCTCAGGGTCGCTCCTTGACTTTACCGGCAGCTATCAGAAATTTAACTGGCAGATCAAAGAAGTGTGCACTACGATACATACTGACACGCAGAAGGAAATCGGCCCCACCAGCACAGCCAGGCCCGACCCTATTCATTCTTTTGATTCCGTTTGATTGTGTTTCGTGAACATAATACAAATGCCCTTCCCGTTCAAACATAGCAATCGTTCAAAGCAGGCATTGAACGAACCTGCTATAGAAAGAGCGGCGGTCACTCCTTCAGCCTCGCACTCACAACAATCCTTCTCATCCGGTTCTGGCGAAGGTAGGTCCACAACAATTCAACAACAATCCTCCTCCACCACCACTACAGTTACCACCACACCATCTCAACCCTTTGAACAGCCCTACGAACCTCGCAATCCCGAAGCTGTATCTCGTGCATCTGCATATCATAATAATTCTGGAGCGTCACCTTCCCGGTCTGTCTCAAATCAATATCAACAACAGCAGATCTATCCACAAGAGCTCGAGGCTTCCCCGCTTCCCCTTCTCCACCTGGCTCGTCCGTCGATGATTTAGTACTTGATACTCAAAGGTTACAAAACCAGGGTCGCAGACACACAGCACACATACAATCACCCGTGGTAGAACCTAAGAAACGTAGTATTTTTGATCGTATGCGAGGCGCAAATTCAAGCCGCTCCTCTGAACAAAAGTACCCCCCAATTGCTACCCAGGTCCCTTATAGCAACAACGCTGGTGGACTCGCGCGCAGATTGTCTCGAAGACACGAGGGCCCTCCTGTAATACGAACTAGTCAACAAAGAAACTCGGTAGACCAACATCAAAGAGCAGATTGGCAACCTGCAGCTCAGGCTTCGAGATCCCATCTGCCATCACCTCGAGAAACTCCCGAAGACGACGGGCTGGATCCTTATCTCATCACGAGCCCTGAAGGGAACACACCACAAAGCGCTCAGAGTTCTTTGAACGTGCATGGGCAACGACAACCTCTGAACACAATTCGAGCTGTACAAAGCGATTCTGATTCACCTCTCTATTCGGCAGAGTCGCAGAACGATCCCCCCGATCAACAATTTCAGCAATCACCTACTCCAGTATATTATCAACAATCTCCTTCAGGTGCTAGTCAATACGAGTCGCCCGAGAGTGTTCAGCAATATCATTACGAACTACCTAGTCAAATTCATTCACAGCAACAATTGAATAGTTTCCCAAGTTCCCCAACAGCCAATACCCTCCGCAGGACTTCACTCCAGACAGCACCTCTACACAGCAACTCGATTCTTCTTTGATATATAGGGAAGATCATCGTCCCGGTTCGGTACAATCTAATAACCAATCTCCGACAAGTATTCACCAATCCAACAGGGCAGATTATCCAGAGCGAACAACTTCAATACAAGGGCCGATTCCAGGCTTATCTACAAATCGTCCTTTGTCGCAACACCTTTCCATGGCACCACAGTCCACTACATCACAACAAAATCGACGATCTGCAGACTCAAAACAAACACTGCAAACTCAAATGGCACAATCAGATGGGAGGGATCCTCCGGCATACCGCCAACAACAATCAGGCCCTAGCAGTAATAACAATAACCAACCACCAGCGACAAGTTCACTCCCTCCTCAAAATCAAGGTCCAAATTACAGAGGAGGCCCTCTACAGCGAGAACAGTATAATCCTTCTGGTGGTGGAGACCAAGGACGAAGCACACCACCACCGGCACCTGGAGATAGAGATGTAAATGAGGCATACAAAGAGCTACGTAAGTTTTATTGAACCCATAATGATATGGTTCCTTGCTAAATTCCCGCAAGTGCAGAAATATAAAAAGGTCAAGGGGCTGTATTTTGACAAGACAGCATCAGTGGAGCAATTGCAAGGACAGGTCGAACAATTACAAAACACTTTAGCAAATCAACGTCTCTCCCAATCTCGCACATCCCTTGACGATGGTGAGTATCAATCACGCTTCGTACGGTTAGATGGTGCTATTACCAATCTTGCTTTCAATATTCGCAAGGATTGGAGAACGGTACCTGCATGGCTTGCACAATCTGTCAATCGTGATGCGATGTCAATAGGAAAACAAGAGATGACAGCTGTCGGTAGAGCTTGTATCACAAGATTTCTTGTTGATGAAATCTTCAACCGCAGCTTCCACCCAGGCTTGGAGAGTGAGCTCAGCTTGAGTTTGAAAAATATCGAACAAAACATTCGTCTATTCTCTCCTGCTATCAACAACCAAGAAGAATCCGATGCCCTGACGGCAAAGATCGTTCAGTGGAGATTGGCAACTTTAGAGGGGCTGAAGGACCTGCTGAACTCTCCGGAAAGCGAAGAGTACAAGAAACAATTCTCGAAAATGGTCACCAGCAACCTGACGGCCAACTTAATCAACTACCTTCAGGAACCAGTACCGGGTGGTATTGAAGAAGCTGCGACAACCATCGTTGAACAAGCAGTGAGCATTGCAGCGAACATTCCCTTGGAAAGCAGAGATGTTGTAATCATGTATCCGATGCCAAACGATTTGGTCAACCGCCAATACATGAAAATTGAAGCTGGTATTCCTGCATTGGAACATCCAGGCGCAGAAACTAATAGTTTTGATTCAAGTAGTGTGGGAAGTCACGATAAGGATGAGAGCTCGAAGGAGGAGCAAAAGGGACATGGAAAGCTGATGAAGGAAAAGAGTGGAAAGGGCCAGGGCATGTTGTCAGCTATGATGGGCAGTGGTAGTAGTGGCGGAGCGGCGGGGAAGAAAATGAGCATTAGTAGTCAAGGTGGACAAGAATCGAGTGAGAAAATCAAGAGTGAAGACGGAGTTCACAAAGTACGCTTTGCTGGATTCATGGGCATTGATATTAGGGGAAGACAGGTGCTGTGTCAGGCTCCGGTTTGGACGATGGGATAGATGGTGAGATTATATTTCGACTATAATGATTGGACGACTGGATGATCGGATGAATCGGGAGGATGTGTAAGTAGGACGATATCTTTTAGGGTTGATTTAGATGACCCTAATTTTGACCATGTCTATGAGATTATGAATATAATACCACTTTGATACCATTAGGGAGTCATAAAATTTCACATTTTGATTATTCTCGTCCTTTTTGGGGAGCTCATGGGGAAGCACATAGAATGGTAACATTTCTATGAGAGTTTCCGTGTACTTTTTGGGAGCACATTTGTATTGGTCGATGAGGTCTTGGTTGAACCAGACTGGACTCAGCCAAGCCCAATCATCAACCAAGTATTGAAAATAAGTGGCTATACGATGCGCCTACAGACGCAAATACTTAATATGGGAATACATCCGCCCTATAGGAACTTCATCCCAATCTTATTGTGGATGGCCCCAGTGTTGCGATAATAGACGTGCATCTCAAAACATCAACTCACTGGATACAACGAAGAAATCCGAGGATAGTCATCCACGCACTAAGAGGTGACTAATACTTTTGTTGCGTGGAATATCACATAGTTACTATATGCAGTAAACTGTGCGCTCCAGAAATTACTTTCAGCGCAGGATAATAGCACCAAAGTGGGGCGGAGCTCCCTTGTACAACTGCAATCACATAAAAATGCTATGAAAATACTCGTCGACTTCTTTGTTCCTTCATTTTCCTCTCTTCATACATAAAAGCTGGTGTAGCTTCTTCTCTGTGCCTTTGCAAGTTGCAAAGAGAATTGTTCATTCTTTTGGAACCATTGGCCCTTGCAGTGAGTTACACAGACTGGGGATTTCCGCGGTCCGTTACACCTCCTTTGGCAGATACGTTGTAGCTCACCATACCATCATGCCGGACCTCAATTATGGATTGTTTACTCTCCTACCGGCTCTCGCAGGGCTCGCAGCACATCTTGGATATTTCATCCACGGCGAACATCATATGCAATCGCTGCAATGGCTGCTCACCACCCTCTTCTCCCCGCTGGTAGTTTTTCTTGCGATCCTCAAGTTTGATGTCACGTCTTCGTATGTGACGGCGCTGAAACTCACAATTATCATTATCGCCTCGTTTCTTACTTCGTTGACAGGAAGCATCCTTACCTATCGCGTCTTTTTCCATCCGCTCCGCCATTTTCCAGGACCGTTTGGTGCTAAATGTTCGAAATTGACTCACGTGGCGAGACTGTTGGAGACGAGTGATAATTACCTGCAAGTGCATACTTTACATAAGAAGTATGGGGATATTGTGAGGTTGGTTTTGGCTTGTTCTAGTTTGTGGGTGATGCTAATTGAGATATCGTGAAGAGTTGGTCCTAATGAACTTTCTATCATCAAGCCGGAAGCGGTGAAAGCGATGGTTGGACCGGGTTCGAAATGCACGAAGAGTGCTTGGTATGATGGTTCGTATTCTGATCCCCTGGAGGGTCCTTCTGGGGAAAATACTAATTCTCTGGTTGGGTGCAGTTGTGGGACTTCCTCATACGACTATGCATTTAGAACGGGATCGCGTGAAGCATGATAAGAGGAGAAAAGTTTGGGATCGTGGGTTTAGTGCAAAGGGTATGGAATTTTCATGAAAAATGATCGTTTGAGATTTTTACTGACATGCATGCAGCTCTACGCAACTATGAGGGTCGAGTCACGAGATATGCAGATGAATTAGTTTCTCGGATTGATACTTTTGGAGGAAAAGCGATTAATGCAGCGCACTGGTTTACCGCCTACGCGTTTGATGTTATAGGAGATCTGGCATTTGGGAAATCATTTGATATGTTGGAAACTGGAGAAAAGGTTGTCTCCTTCCCACATCCATATGCATATGCGTTTTTTCTAACTAGCACAGCATTTTGCGCTCAAACTTTTACAAGAAGGCATGGAGCCATTAGGAATTCTCACACCTATTCCTTGGGCCTTCCCTATTCTCATCAAGATTCCGGGTGCAATGGATGGTTTCAACAGATTTATCAACTACTGCGCTGAGCATGTTGATATCCGCAGAGCAGTACGTGTACTCTTGTCCCTCCTACTTCAAGAAATCCACCAACAATCGAAAAATTAGAATGAGCCAAGTGTACCAGATATCATGACGTGGCTCATCGACGCCGAAAAGAATGATCCAGATCCCATCCATAGAGATACCAGGTTTGCAGTTCCAATCCGTTTTTCAATTAGCATAGTGCCACCGTCTAACTATTTGAACCACTCGCAAGATGGCTGCACGGCGACTCACGTCTGGCTATCATAGCAGGTAGCGATACTACATCTGCAACCCTCACATATCTATTCTATCACCTCTGTCTTGAACCGCACCACGTGGATAAATTGAGAGAAGAGCTCGAACCGATATTTACCCCGGGTTCTCCAAGCGAATGTAGAGATATACAAGATGCGCCGTATTTGAACGCCGTTATCAACGAGACGCTTCGATTGCATCCGCCTGTTCCCAGTGGTGTGCTGAGACAAACTCCGCCTGAAGGTCTTACGATTGATGGAACGTATATCCCGGGTGACGTGGTCATCTCGGCTCCTACGTGGACAATGGGTCGTTGTATGTTCTCTTTTTCCTTTACCCCAAATCTTAGGCTCTTCTTCCTCCAAGCCCAGAACTAACCAATCGCACAGTAAAATCCTGCTACCCCTCTCCCCACACCTTCCTCCCCACCCGCTGGTTCCCCGACACCCAAAATGCACAATACCTCCTCGACAAATCGGCTTTCACACCTTTCAGCGCGGGAAATTACTCATGTATCGGTAAACAACTCGCGTTAATGGAATTGAGAGCTGTGGTTGCGAGGCTGGTGATACGGTTTGATATTGGGTTTGCGGAGGGGGAAAGGGAGAGAAATTGTTGGGGAGGGAGTGGGGGGTTGAGGGGAGAGGGGAGGAGATGGGATTGGGAGGGGATCAGGATACGAAGGAGGTTTTTACGTTGGAATTAGGGGAGCTGAGGATGAGGTTTCGGGAGAGGAAATGAGGAATTGGAGGGTTGCTTTTAGGGTGAGGGTGTAAAGAGTCAGAAGGTGAAGTATGGATTGTATCGTATGTGTGCGATGTAGTCGGGCTTGGTCATTTTTATGATTCTTGGCGGAAAATTTCCTGACGTCATTAATTTATTATTTTAATGGGAGTTGGATATCAGAATTTCTCATCTCGTCTCATCTACTTGAAAAATGACTTTAGAATGTTTCGATAGGTACCCTGAATAGATATTTATTCCTCCAATACAATAAGTGTACTTACACGTCCCATCCCCCAAGCCTCGAACAATATTCGCACATGTCTTTGGTAAGCACGGGTCAATCATTCACATGTAGACTGCGTATATGCGACAAAGTGTATCAATCGATGCATTCAAAGTGTTAAAAATAAAACTATTCTATCCCATTCCAACCCCATCCAAGATCCAAACGATACACTTTCCCACCTATGATCAACCTCAACAATAGCGAGCTCAAACAACTCCCAGATTCTCAATGCTTCCCCCTGAGTTCCCTCTTCTTCTTTCGCGAGAAGTGAGCACACGGCTATTGTTGGATATATTTTTTTATCGATATATATATTATATTCTTCCTTCCTCTCCTTCGTTCTCTCATCCTCCTTTTTCCACACAGGAAGAAAAATAAACAAATAAAACATCGACGAAATTGCCATTAAGCTATTGAGGACCAATCTCTCACATCAAGTGATTAATATTGATTATCCACCAAAAAATGTTGTAAAAACAGGAAGGAGAAAAGAAACATCATTGCTCCTCTCGTACAATCGCCTCTCTTTTTTTATGTGAGGGATAATTGACGGTCTAGGGAGATGTATTCTCAATGACATTCTTTCCTTTTTCTTTTTTTCTTTCTTTTTTTTTCTTTTGTATCTTTTTATACTCTTTTTTTGATCCAATTCCCCCTTTCCCCAAATTCAAAAGAAAAAATCGAGAAGAAAAAAGATACTGCTCCTCTCGCAAACTCCACCCTTTTTGGTGGAAAGTAGTTGCGGTCTCTGGAGATGTATTCTCAATATCCTTTCTCTCTTTGTTCAATTTTCTTTTCAAGAAAAGCGCGAGTGCTTTCTCTTGAATCGGTGTGTATAGAGGTAGGGGAAGGATGGAATACAAAGTATGTAGTGGTTGATCTGAGAGATTTGTTGCGAGTCGTCACTCGATGGATATCGTACTTGATGTTTTTGCTTTTATTTTCGCCCTGGACTCGAGCTTGGTTTTCCGTGGGCGTAGGTGGGCCTCGGGAGTGACAGGTGGCGGAGGTGTTGATTGTGTGGAGGTGGGTATATGATATTGGCGAGATAAATATTCTTTGTCATGAGTTGATCGGAAAGGTGATACCGTATCGACATCCGAAGTTGTTGAATGATAATTAAAATAAAGCCAACAATATAAAATGTGGTAGTGACTGTGTTATATCCCGATCCGGATTCGAGATATATGATAAATAAAATTGAGTGATGCTGTGAGGTATTGATTCGACACAAATCTTGAGCAGTTCCACTTGTCCATCCTCACACACGGATTGGGTGGTATGTATCCTTTCATTTGCCGAGATCAGATCATGATGTATGATCTTGAGGCATCATATTTATAATGCTGTCTCTGTGCGACGCAGTGTTGGTGGTCGGAAGGTACATGGAGCTAGATTGTCCGTTTCAATGTTTTGAATTTGTCTCCGGCGTCTTGATGTGGAGGTGAGTGGATGAAGAACCATCATGCAACATAACGCCTGTGGAGGAGAAAAATGCGTAAGCATTCATCCATATGGTGTGCCCTAAATTGACGATCCAAACTCCATCGCCGAAGAGACCCGAGATTCTGTTGATCGAAGAACCGAAACATGATAGAAATGAAGTAACTTTGAGATAAGACTCTTACTAGGGATCCAAATAATCGACCTCCCCATCAAAAAGTCTCATCACGACATCCAGCATAGCAGGACAAAGATCAATATCACAACTCACATCCTCGTCATCTTCTTCACCACCAAAAAGTCGACGTTGCATTTTCCCCAGTTCTTCCTCTTTCATTCCCTTCGCTTCCCTCATCATGGTTTGTCTCTCCATCTCCAATTGTCGCATATTCTGTTTGACAGCCAGATTTTCTAGCTCAGCAGCTTGTCTGGCTTTCCATCTCATCCAACTTTGATCAAAGCTTTGTCTTAGTATTGGAGAGGGCCCACTACCGGTTTTGTGGTTGGGAATATAGAAGTCGGAGTCTCGAGCTTCGAGAATCCCTTCGTTGAGATCGGTGGCGAGGGCAGATTTGCGGGAGATGGTGCGACGCGCGCGTGAACCTGGCCTTTCGCGACGTCGGTTTTGTCGATGATGGATGGGAGGAGAGGAGTCTGAAGTATGAGCGAGGGGAGGGGAGGAGGAAGAGGAGGATAGATTTGTTGTAACCATTGTGAAAATAGAAGTGTTACTTTGGGGTTGAGTGGAGAGTTGGAGTATGGAAGTTTCGATATGTAGATGCTATGCAAAGGTAACAACAATATCCCACAACTGAGAGGTAGAGTGTAGCAGAGTAGATAAAACCCCAAAGGATAGACGGAGCACCAGAGATCGAATTGACGATAGAAAAAAGCAGAAGGATAAAACGAAAGAGGAAGATATTCTTCTTATATCCTCTTCCTCAAGATTCCCTTAGAGTCACAATACTAATAGAAAATAATAGTCACCACTCGATGACTCGAATATATCTTTCTTTCTATATGTCACCATGTCATGTGCTTATACCCGAATATTTTTTTACACACCACAATTCCAATTTGATCCGTTGTTCGGAGTCGTTACACTCATTCATTCCAAATCACTTCCCAGGAGATAGGTAAGTGACTCACAATCGGCCGGCGTGGCAGTGTCATCCATCATAAACAAGGATCCCTTGGTACCCAGTCTCAAGGTGACATCCGACAACGAGGCAAAAGATCTGAAGTATGTGTTGGAGATCGACCTTGATTGGTTTATTTGGTATATTAAATACTTGCGTTAACAATTTGTTTGTTTTGTTGCATGTCTGAAGCATGGTCCCGTTAATGTTTGTGTTGTGGTTGAAGGAAGCCCTGCCCTGCCTCCTGCTTCAATTTTTGGGTGATGGTGGTGTGGCTGGTGTCTGGGGTGAGAGTGGCGAAGTTCTTAGCGTGACGCATTGATGAAGATGGGAGAAACCCGATGCGAAAGGATACCTATAGTTTTTCAACGTTCAACAGCCTACAGAATGTTTCAACCTCGCCTCATTCGTACATCTTTGCTAAATTTCAATGGGAATCCCGATATACTGGACGACCCCAGTCTAGGTCGAAGATTAGGTTGCAGCTACGACGGAGTATCGAATATTACGCACGTATATCCTATACGAGTACGAATACCGAAATGTGGACATGTTTCTAGGCAGGATGGAGTATCGTCAGTGTGTTGAAGGCAGAAAACACGGATTTAGGTATTCAACGGAGGAAAATGTCCAGAAATGATAAGTGTTGATTCGGACTTTTGATCCCATTCAAGATCATTTAACAGAGGCGTAAGAGAAGTTACCTGGAGTGTGACTCAATCTCTATATTTCTTCGGGCAAGATGCACGAGTGCTATGGAGATTAAGGACATAAGACAGAAAACTAACGACAAGATTGAGTAATCAATTTATCATGTGGGTATTATAGTTATATTCATCCGAAGATATGAGACAAGCTTAGGCAGGTTATATGATATAGGTAGTCGTTGCGAAAATGAATAGACCAGACAAAATATTGCTGAAAAATAAGACAAATCCTTAAGCGATGATACAACTTCATTTTATCCAAGAGACTAGATGATCGTAGGCTTCATGGTTAGTAGTCATTCGAACCCGACTCATTCTCAAGTGACGAGTTCCCGGATCATCTAGACAATGCCATCCCTTAGACTCTCTCTGTGACTTTCACCAGGTGTCAGAAGTATCTGTTGCGAAGAGTATCTTCCACGGACTAGACATATCTTCGGATCTAGGCCTACCGTGGTTACAAATCTCGTGGGGATGTAAGTTTTTGGCTGGCCCATATGTAAAGATCTGAAGGGTTTGCTCCTATCATCGTAAATTCTCAATATGCGACAAGATAGGGTACCTTTCGAGTTTCAAATAAAGAAGTACTCTTACAGCTATCTGCCTGGAAAGGTTCGGCGAGAGTACCTAGTGGTGATACATTTGTTCGTACACATGATATCGTGTGGATAGGCAGCCCTACCTAGCTGGTCGAAAACATAAATGACACTCCCTGATAGGAAGAAATTCGGTAGTATAGAAGTGCCTCATACGTAGTATATTATTATACTAGAACTCTTGCTATTCATCACTCACCATAAAGCTAACTTGCCATTCAAGATAAGTGATTAATCCACATCAGAAGATCGGGTGTTCGGCATGCGATGCTGTCTGTAAACCTCAGCCTTTCACCCACTGAGCTGATACACTTTGCCAAACAACAACCGTCTCCAAGGTAACATCAGCATCATTGATACCCAGAGATAACAATGTAAAGAAGTGCCCAACCTTCAGAGTTACAGAGACCCTCACCAGCTGAATGCAACATCGTGCTTTGGAATTATTATTGGTACGGGTCAATGCAAGTATCCTTGCCGCACCTATTCTTTTCAGCCGCGTGCTTGCAAGCGCATGGGGTTGATCGTCATCTTATAAACATGAAATCCCCATCGCCAACTCATCATGAAAAGAATATTTGAGTGAAGTGAATTCTGGCGATATGTTTTTAGCCTCCTCTTTTCTATGGTGTCGGCCAGTACCTTTCAGAATTCAGGCTGCCAGTAGTTTTATCACTCCTCGCTTTTTCATAACGTCTATCATAGATATCCTCGACAAACGAATATCAAATACTTTTCTCCATCTTCATCCCCATCCCCGCCACGATGGAAGGGTCTCGCTGTAAAGCTATTTTCTCTTAGGATTATCACTGTGCCACTTGACACGATCGTCCTTGCAATAGAAAAATCATTCGTATCTCGATCACGACTCTTTTGATTCGCTACAAGACTTTTCATCTTTGGGTTCGTTTGTACCTCGATGTACAAAGGTATTCATGACTTATCGAAGCTGCATAAATCTCCCTTTCTAGGGATAGCAGTCTTCGGAACGCTTCTACAATTTGTGCCTTTTGATACATGGATCTTTATAGACTCTTTCAAAATATCGAAGTCACTTGGATCTCCCTTGCCAAGGATAAGACTCGCCACACGTTTCTTCGTCTCCGTGGTTCTTCCTGTTTCAAGTTTCACAATATTCGATATATATGGAGAAATACTTTCTACAATTCCAAAGCATCCACCGGGCATTCAGAAAAATCTAGATAGCCCTGTGTCATATCAACACGAAGTTTTGCCACCGGGATACATCCGATTGATCTGTGTCGAGTCTGGGAAGCCCGAAGACCCGATTGAGTTGACAATGCACAGTACTTTATTTCGTCCGGGCGATCGTACGGAATGGCTTCCCGTGAAGTATGTGCCCCAGTACGTGGCGTTGTCATATACCTGGGATGAAGACGAAAAGAAAGATAAGATGTATGTGATCTCTTACAACTTAGTTCCATCACAAGTAATCTCAACAATATATATCTCGAGTTAGTAGTTGTCGAGCCTCGCATCAAAAGAAAATTGTAAGGTGTCTGGCAAGTGCTAAGACAATCAATTTTTTCTAAGAGGACAAGTTTGGCTATTATGTATCACAGACGAGTGATGTTAAATGGCAAACCCTTCTATATCACACCTAACCTCCATTCTGCGCTTCTTGCCATTCGATGTAACGACATCTCCTCACGATTTTGGATAGATGCAATTTGTATTGATTAAAACGATAATGCCGAAAATGAGCAACAGCTAAAAATTATGTATCAAATTTACAAACATACCTCAAGGAAGGCGAGAAGGACCCTGTCGTACGAAAAAAAAATTGACTGGCACACTGGGCCTGAATATGAGTGCGGCTGGAAAGCAATCAAAAAATACTCGCTCGATCCTGTTTCACTAGATCTTGGATAATCCAGGAAATGGTACCCTCTTCCAACCGATCAATATTTGTAGGCGATCATGACATAACCGATATCCTTCGCTTTGTTGAACTACTTTACGCAACTCCTGAAATCCAGAGAGAGCTTCCTTCTGAATGTCGTATCGAGCCGGAGGTTACATTGCGAATTCATAATTTGATCCAGAGTGTTATAGGATACTCCGAGGCTTTGAATCTTGGATAGCTTTTAGCTACCTTTAGGGGAAAGGTTCCAAAATTCCAGAGGATCAGATATACAGTCTGTTAGGAATAACAATGGAGAAGAATGTTAGCTCTGATGGGCATCGCCTTCTACGATTTCCAAAGATCAATTACAATCAATCGATTCAGAAGCTGTGCACTGACACAACAAAATACATATTGGCGCAAGATAATGACTTGGGCGTTTTCCGAATGGTTAACACACATGCGAAGCCGATAAATCAAGAACAATGGCCGTCCTGGGTTCCAGATTTCACGTCACCCCTACCAGGATTAGGAGAGCCGAAAAATTCCTATTGGATGTTACCACTAGAGGATGTATCACATACAAGGTTGCCTGGGAAGAAGAAAGCCATTTATACTGAAAATGATAAGTTACTGATTCATGAGCATGTGCTTAGCGAAATCAGGAAGCCGATAAGAATGGTAGAGAACAACGAGCGGCACGACAAAGAGCTAGAACACGAGAAGCGACGAACAGGCGAGAGACAACACCCACGTTTTGACCCGGAATTTCTGCCAATGAGCGTTTGGGAGGACAGTGAAGGGCGCGAGGTATATGGGACAATGGATGTCAAAAAAGGGGATTTGGTGGTTGTGGCTGCGTGTTCGGAGAGTCCGTCGATTTTGAGGAGGCTGAAGAATGCACAGAGTGATAAAAAAGAAAAGAGTGTGAATGGCCTGAGTACAATATAGTTGGGACGGCCCACACACTGGAACTCAATACGGGTAAATTCTATGAGCTTGCGATGGAAATGAAGTGGGATTTTCAGAGGATGGCTATAGTTTGGGATACATACTTAAGTGTTCTATATATATAGCACTACTATACAAGAAGACACTGTCTGATATCTAGGAATAGCTTCAATATCTTATCTCGCCGCCTTTGTTTTGCCATTACTGTTTTCGGTCTGCGTGTGTTGCAATAGATATGACCTAACTGATTAGAAAGACATTCTAAGAGATCCAAGCCCATGAAACTTGTCATCGCCTTTTGTTCCCCCTCGCCCCCCCCCGCATGCCCTTGGAGATCTTTATTTCATAACACTAACTTTGGCTTCAGTTCGCTCGAACCGATGCATATTTTCCGATAGGACGTATTCGACCACTCAGTCCTTGTACGTTCATTAAATTTCATGTCTTGTAATTCCCTTTCCATTCGCATCCAATGATAGTGTAACTACTCTCTCATTTGATACACCAATACGTCATCCAGCTCATCTGTTGCCCCCAGCAACGCTCTAACCCACTTGTTTAGTTTCGCGTGGTAACGTCCCACAAGAAGCAAAAGAGAGAAAGAAAAAAAACTTGACGAACCACAAAAGCGGGTTGGGTAAGACCAGTGCTGGGGGGAGTGTTTTGGACCTCTTGAAAATTTAATAATGATAATGATGCCGGCGCCAGAAAAAATGCTTGATCAAGGATGATGAACGATAGATGATTGGTAATGGTGGACAGAAACAGAAAGAAGAGGATAAATTAGACAATTTTATCATCCTAGTGAGCGGACCGTCCCTTGTTTACCTAGACATATGCCGCGTGATATTGTGACACTGTGACATTATGGGTTGGACCGCATAGAGGGTCTCAACGGTATAAGTGCAGATGAAGAAGTTAATGTCGATTGGATTGGAATGATTGGATGGAATGAATTGGTATTGGCGCTGGTTTGCTTCAATAGTTTGGTTTTTTGATTGAATGGAGATACATACCCAGCATTGGTCCGTTGTATCAACCTGTATGGTGGGGTATAAGTACCTAGTAGGACGAAAACAAAGTTACTCGCACGAGAGATTTATTGGACGGATGAATGCTTCTTGGTATGAGAAACGTGGTCGTGGTCGTGGTCGTGGTGCTGTTCACTTGGTAGAGGAAGGTGGAGATCACAATGGAGTTTCTCGAGTGATATTGGAGAAGCATTCATTCACTTCGTACGTGAGATAGCCAGAGATACTAGGTAGGTTGGCAGATAGACACAAGACTACCTATACCTAGCAAGTGTGAACCAACAATTGATGATGGTTTCGTTTCGAGGAAATTTGGCTTGGATGTGCTCATGGTGATTGGATATTGGTCTGCAAGAAGGAAACAAGAAATATCCTATTCGTTGAAGCGTGTTTGGAGTGTGTTCTTGAGTGAAGGATGGGATAGAAGAAGGCTAATTAGCAAGCAAGCAAGCAAGCAAGCATATAGCTTTTGCAACTTCTATGAGGATTATGAATTTCTAGCTGGGAGTGTAATAATATCAATCAATGTCAACATCACAATCAACATCACAATCAAACTTGATATCAAATTGTACAGGTCAAGCCGGTTAAGTCAAGTTAAGTCAAGTCAAGTCAAGTCATGATTATTAAATTGATTAATCGAATTGATCTTTCCTTATCATTTTTCCCTCTCAGACTCGAGAACTTATCGCTGTGCATTCGCCTATGGTAAGTACCACCGGCCCATCCACCCATCCACCCATCCACCCTCCACCCTCCACCTCAGGAACCCTGGAGAAAGTATCATTTTGACACACGGGAACTTTATTTATTTTTTTGACTTTTCTGTCCTGAAGCCTTCACGAATTACGACCCTTCAACTTTGATTGATCCCATACAACTTTTTAAAATTAATGACCCTACCTTGTGAACTCTTTTTCTTATTTGCTTTGGTGGGAATAATTCGGATCATACAGACAGAGTGCGACAAGAGGGTGAGATTAAGGAGACAATTTATTATTCAATTTGCAAATATTGGCCATTCTCTGCGCAAGTTTGTACCGTTTGGAACTTTGGATGGATGTATCTTAGTAAAGTGTCGAATGATTATCGCTAGCAAAGTACTCTTTTCCCCGTTGGTCAACAGAAGCTTGGGAACTCTGCGATATTTGCTTCTTGAGGGTTCGTTCATTGCGCAAATCCTACACGAAAAAGGAAATCTTTGGAAGCTGATGTCTTGCTTTACAGTACAGCTATCCATGGCTTAATGACGATACTATCATCTTTTCGAGATACCCTCTGCGAATTCGATATTAGAGATTCACAATCAAAACGGACGATTTTTTAGTACCTGTACATATCGATCTTCAAACAATAATTCACATCAAATACAATGGCTGATGGACCACCACCACCACCACCCCCTCCCCCTCATGGCACTCCGCCAAAATCTTCTGGTCTACCGTCAGGGAATTATGATATTTTTATCATTCCACCGCATGCGTCAGGTTCAGGATTCCTCTACTTACCTTCACTACAACCAAATGTTAATAGTTTCGTAGCGGGGTTTGCTTCAGCTCTTGTGCTTGTCGCACTAACTTTCATATTAAAACCACTCATGGATTCCATGAAAGGAGGTGGAGGGCCAGCAACCTTGATTTTGATGGTTGCAATTGGGTTGGGAGCTTGGGCACTAGGGCGGATGCAATCGAACGGTGAGACCAGGCCCGGACCAAGTCAAGGATCGGGTGCACCTCCGCATGGTGGATCATATTCAGGTGCCAATAATAACACATATTCCAATGGATCAGCTTCAAGTGGTGGGCCACGAACTTCAGGAACTGGATTTTCACCTGGATCCACATCAGAGGGGGCTGGGGGACCTCCACCTAATCCGCAGGCCGGATCTGGCGCAAGAAAAAGATCAAGTGAAGGTTGGGAAGAAACTCCTCCTCCTTCGCCTGATGCCGGTCCAGAGATGCCGGGCGCAACACCAAGGTACGGTCCTGGCACAACCCCTGGCGCAAACGATGACACTCGATCGAAAGAAAATGCCTCGAGAACGGCGTGGGAAGAAGCTCGCGAAAGGACTAGAAAGAAGGAAGAGGAGAGAAAGAAGGTAGAGGCCGAGAAGAAGCGAAAGGAGGATTTGGAAAAGAGATTGAGAGAGTTGCGAGCAAAGGAAGCTCTGGAACGAGCTGCCCGCGAGAAAAAACAAAGAGCTGAACGCGAAGCTAGGGAACGAAAGGAAAGAGAGGAACGAGAAGCCAAAGAACAAAAGGAGAGAGAGGAACAGGAAGCCAAGGAACGAAGAGATAGGGAAGAGCTGGAAGCTCGGGAGAAGAGAGAACGAGCAGCTCGAGAGAAGGAAAGAGGGGAACGCGAAAGGTTGGCGAAGTTGGAGAGGGAGGATCAACAGGCTCGAGAGAGAAAGGCAAAGGAGGAGCGCGAAACTCGAGAACGAATCAAGGCAGAAACAGTGCGAATCAAGGCAGAAGCAGAGGCAAAGGCAAGAGCGGACTATGATAGAAGACTTAGAGAGGAAGTAGCTAGGAGGGAAGCTCTAAGGAAAGAAGAGGAAGCCAGGAGGGAAGTTTTGAGGAAAGAAGAGGAAGCCATTAAGAAAGAGCAAGAAAAATTACGACTAGAAGCTATTGCTAGAGTAGAAGCCGACAAGAAAGCCAGAGCAGACAAGGAAAAGGCAGACGCGGAGGCAAAAGCAAAGGCGGAAAAGGCAAGAGCGGCTGCGAAAGCATGGGCAGATGCTAAAGCCGCAGCAGCAGCAAAACGTGAGGCCAAAGCCAAAGAAGAGCGCGAGAAGGAAGTAGCGGCGCAAATACGTGAGGTCAAACTTAAGGAGGAGCGCGAGAAAGCAGCCGAAATAGCAGCTCAAATGAGGGAACTCAAGCTCAAGGAAGAGCGTGAAAGGGTAGCCGAAGTAGCAGCTCAAATGAGGGAACTCAAACTCAAGGAAGAGCGTGAAAGGGCAGCCAAAGTAGCAGCTCAAATGAGGGAACTCAAACTCAAGGAAGAGCGTGAAAGGGCAGCCAAAATAGCAGCTCAAATGAGGGAACTCAAACTCAAGGAAGAGCGTGAAAGGGCAGCCGAAGTAGAAGCGCAAATAAGAGAAGTCAAACTCCAAGAACGTGAAAGGGCAGCCCTAGCCGCACTCGCAGCGGAACGGAGAAAACCGAATACTTATTCGAATGCTGGAGTGGGGGAGAGAATAAGCCCTTGGCCAAATGGAAAACCGCCCACAACAACACCCGCTCCCCCCACTACCAGCTCTATACCCCGACCCCAAGCACAATCCACCTCATCCAAGAAACCCCCGGTCTCAACTGCAAGAACGTATGCAGGTACCGACAAGGATGCCCAGTCCCACTCACCTTATGCACAAACGCCAAGACCAGCCCGAAAAAAGTCACTCAGTTCCTTGTATTCCGAATCCTCATACGCGGCCTCACAATCGACGAGTAGAACTACCCCACCTCCTTCCACACGAGGAGCATATAGCACCAAGGATCCGGATAAAATTGTTATCAAAGGTGTATTCGCATTCAATAATGCATTCCACAAAACCCCTACATCTCAACTTCTATCTGGTGTTGGTTCTGTTACCGACGGACTAATATTAAGAATCACAACAGAGGGTCTCTTCATTGATGACGATGTACGAGGTGTCGCTCAACGAGAGTGGGATGTCAAAGCATGGACAATGAAACTCGTAGAGGTATGGTGCCCATCTTTCAGACAAGCATCGCGTGTTCCTCCCGCTACTACTGCTCATAAAAATCCCGTTCGACGCCTTTGGGGTCTCGATAAAGAATTAGCAGCGAGTGAAGAAGAAAAAGACACTCTTCTAGTTAGTATGCTGCAACTCTGCCGGGATAATTGTCGTGCTCGTGCCATTTCTAATTCTTCCACTGCGCATTCTGCTAGTGGTTCTGTCTATTCTGCAAGTTCTTATGCTTCATCCGATACTAGATCGTCTGTCTCATCTGATTATGCTGATTCCATTGGGTCGTCTAACTCTCCTTATGGCGAGAAATCAAAGAGAACCACTAACCATAATGCGCAGACTGGTGAGAATAAAACAGCTGGTCTGCATATTTTGAGGGCGAGCATCAGAGATCAGGAAGGCAAGAAGTATGTCTTTGTGGTTCAAGAAAGTGAGGCTTGGAAGGTAGCATTAGGGTTGCAGAGGTTGAGGAGGGGAACCCAGGTAAGAAGTTTGGGTGTTAGCGGCATGAGTCCGAATGATGCAAAGGCTACACTGGAGAACTTGGGATGGTGTTGAAGGTGATGAGAACATTTTAAACCCCTGGAATACGCCATGGAATGTGGAGTTTGGAACGCGGAATGGTATCCCTTGGCAAAAGAGAAAAGGGATGCGAGTGAGAGGGAAATCATGAGTTCCGAAAGTCAAGTCTAGCATTTACAACACGACAGAAGCATCAGCGAAGGAGTTTTTATTTTTGTTTTTATTTTGTTTTGTTTTTGAAGTCTTTGTTTTTGATACTAGAGTATTTCCACTCATCTAAAGGAGTTTATGTGTTTGTTTGCGTAAGGGAGATGTCGAGTTTTAGTTGGAACTTTCTTGTGGGAATTTAGAATGGAATTGGGTATCAGTACCTCTTCAATTTTTGTGAGGTGTTTGGTTAAAGAGCGTATTGTATGTATCTTGAATACCCGGTTCTGTACTAAAGTTTGAGGTTTGGAGTATGTTTGTTGTGGAATGTTGGGTAATGGGAATGGAGGATGAGGGGACAGGTAGTGATGGTAGTAGTGGGACATCTAGGTAGTGATGTAATTGATGGAATAAATAACTCTTTGGAGATCTTATCTTTGCTTACTTGGTGATTTCCGTGAGGTTTGAGCTTGAATCATTTTGTATTTATTGCATGTTGAGGACAAGGCAGGCATTCCATTAAATGAGATGGTTAAGAGAATTTATCCTATTTGAATCAGTATTTCGAATGAAACCTTTTACATCTGAAGTAGGAGAAGGAGATAGCATGAATGGATATCTGTATTTGGTAGCATGGTGTACAAGTTTGCTCTAATCCTTACCTATCTGGTTTTGAAGGGAGAGACTGACTAGTGGGCTATAAATGAGTATACTCGTAGTATATATAATACACATACATCAATAGCTTGACCAAGCCAAACAATCTTTTACTCAAGACTCATGTATATTCCAAGTTATCCACCACGCACGTTCTAGTCTACACTCGACGAATGTCACATTGCCTCACGTTGCATCATATCATATCCCCTAACTCATATATAGAAATCATCACAACTCACCTAGGCATAGCACTCTTCGCTTATAAACAAACGACTATCTTCTCGAATAGATACCACTAAGTAGCATATATCAATTTGATGAATGTATGTCTCAAATATCTCTACCTACCTACCTACCTAGGGAGGCCTTGTTAGTAGATACACTGTTAGCTACCTAGGTATGTGTATTCTTCAATACTCGGTACAGTAACTTAAGACTTAGAAGTATGTTCATTCACTTATTCATTTATTTCAAACTAATGTGTCAAATAAGATAGCTTCCAAGCACTCTGTTATTCGTTATGAAATATATACATATATCTAGTCATTTTGTTACTCCTAGGTATCTCTGTGAATTTAGATTTTATATGCTGTGTTGTATTTGAGTACTGAAACTCGCTTTCTTGGGTGAGATGAGGAGGGATAAGATGGGATGGGTTGGGTTGGGCTAGGTTGGGTGTAGAACAGCTAGATAGGCGAAGCGAGATGGGATGAGAGAGGGATTGAGTGAGCAAGAAGGGAAGAATCAATATATTTGAAGAGGGTGTTTGAATATCAAGATTTGGTTTTGGATGGATGTCCAGAAGAGGTGGGTATATCTCAGGTTATGTTGGATGTTTAGGAATAGGAGTCAGATGTTGAAATGAGAAGGAAGTACCTAGTAATTAACAAATAAGTTTTGGGTGTTTTTGGCCACGAGGTAACTAGCACATTATGCGTTAAAGCAAAGAGGAGGTATCTGGCAACATCTGCAGGATCTGTCGAACATCAATAGATACATCTTCACATCTTTCATCTCATGAATACTAGTATATGCTGCTAGAACAGCTTGTATGCATGAAGAAACAATAGTATGATATTCCATGCTATGGACGTTGGACTTCCCAACAAGCTACATTATTAAACGATTCATATACGGCCCGTTCCCCTGAATTAAATATATTAAAAGTACAATATACAAGTATCCCCAGTCATCCCAATTTATCCCTCTTCTTATGCGTCAAAGTAGCGAGCAAAGAGACCCATAAACTCCACGCTGATTCCCATTGTAAAATGATCATATACATTCCATGCCTTCCATTTCGTACAATATGTATCATATCTAACGAATCTTTCCGATTCTCTTTTTGGCAATGTTGATCTTCCCCTTAACTCTATCAGCATCCTCATCCACCCTCTTCAACATCTCATTTTGCAGTTCCAATTCTCCGTGAATCGCCAATCCCATTTCTCGTTGTCTCCTCACAATCTTGCCAAGTTCTTCCACATCCATATCTTGATTCTGCATCAATTCCTTCTGTAATTGTAACACGCCCTCATTATCCAATTCTCTCGTTTTATCTGTTTCAGGAACCGGTGCGCCAAGGACTCGTCCACTAGGTCGCGATACTCCCGGTCCAAATAATGCATTTTTATCCGCCTGTGTCGCTGCCGCACCACCATTTGCTGAACTCGAGCTGGCTTGATTCTTAACCGCCAATGTAACAGCCAATTTTTCCAAGCCCTCCTTTTCCACCTTTACGCTACCCAAAAGATCTCTTCTCCTCCTCAATTCACCTGCGCCGACCCTTGCCTCTCCTCTCCCATTTTTCTCCCCCTCACCCATGACCTTCAAGCCTTCTTCCAAATCCTTAAGCAGTCCTCCAGCCTTAACTAAACACCTCTTCGCGTTCGCGCCCGCCTCATATTGACCCGCCGCCGTATTCGCGCTGTCTCTCCTCCCCAAAAACAATCTCGCATCATGCAACTGCGCCTTCAATTCGCGATGAACATCCAACCACACCTGCGGATCCGCCATAATCTCCGCATTCCCACCCACACCTCTTTGGTTCGCAGCAATAAGTCCCTCTCTCGCACTACTCAAACTCGCGTTTCCACTATTACTAGGCAGGTTTAAAAATTGTCGCCAAACGCTTGTTTCTCTCCATCTTCGATCCGGATTTTCTGCGATGCTGCGGAGATAGGTTTCGAGACCGCGACGACGATCTTCCGTCAATTCAGGAGAGTTAATTGTACTTTTAAACCATGTTTTCCCTGGAAGAGGAGCGGGAGGTGGACTAGAAACTTGGGTACAGAGGGAAGAATGAAGAGTGACAAAATCGGAGTAGCGTTTTTGGACGACGAAGGTTCGAAGAGGAAGACGGAGTGTAATGTTGTAAAGAGTATAGGGTTTTTCATTTGGTGCGCTTGAGAGAATTGTGCTAGGTATCGAGAGTTCGAGAGGCGGTGCCATGATTGATTGATTGATTGATGTGATGTGGTTTGATGCGATGCGATACAGAAGATTGATTGTTGGTTATATTTCCTTTGTAAATGCAAAGAGATGGTGGTCACCGTTTGTTTTGAGGTTGCCTCGTGAGCTTAGTACGGGCTGACCCTGTCCTGTGCAACAAGGATGACGCTTGATGCTTGATAGCGCAAAATGTCACTTGGCGATAAGAGATTAATTGTGATTGTGTGAGCTCATTCTTGTTCTCATGATGGACAATCAAATTGGTATTATACGAAGAAAAAAAACTCTTGTATGGTTTACATCTAATAATTAAACTCTTCTTCAATAACCAGAGAACTCATTTGAGAATCATGTGAGATCTCAATATGCTTCAGAATTGGTCCAACGCATGCAACCTCCCGTAGCCTACGAATGCTACCAACCTGTGAGCGTTTGATATTGTGCCTCGCACACACTCTGCTCGTTCATAATTCGTATCTCATAGCCTTGCTTGCTATAAACTCCCGCAGGTGAAAGAACCAATGAATCTATTTGCAGCTGCAAAAAAATTCAAATCCCATTATAGTAAAAAGAATCTAGAATGTCTCTTCTTGGTCATCAACCTCCGCCTCCGCCGGTATTTCAAATCCATCTTCAGTCGAGTACAAGATAGTTTGAATGTGCTTGATTAAGCCGTCTTCCTGCTTCTCAATCTCTGGGTCCTCTTCGCAAGCTTGTTGAACCAGTAATTCGATATCTCTGAGTTTGCTGAAATAGAAGTCTCGTTCCCGTTCTAGCCCTGCAACTGTTTCCTTCAGAGTGTCGTTCTCTGCTTTCAGTGCTGCTGAAGCTGCACCACCGCCAACGGCTCCAACCTTAGCAACTCTTGCGCCGCTCGTTGTTGGTGTTACTCCTCTGCGAGCTGCACCACTTCCGGCGGATACTCTTGGAGCAGCAGATGGTGCGGCACCGGGTCCCCCTGCAGCACGTCGGCGAGCTACTGCATCATATTCTCCTCCTGGAAAGTATTGATCCCAATATCTCTTGGTCCACTGTAGAAATTCGAGGTTGTCTTGCATCTTGCATTTAATAAGTTGTTCGACATGGATGTTTCGATCGACTTGATGGCGGGTAAAGGTGTCTGGATTGTTGTCAGTGGAGGAAAGTAGATTCAGGGGAGGGTATTCTGACTTTGAAGAACTTTGAAATTTTGTAGATATGCATATTCAGTATTGACATTGAACTTGACTTTTGACATCGGTACATCGAGGAAAATACTGTCAAAGACTTGGCATAACGCAGCACTGTGTTCATGATACATGTAAGTCAATAGTCTTATAGGGGGAGAGAAGATGAAACTCCTTGTGCAAGCCAGAAGCTTACTTACCCGGTGCCACATTGTTCAACTTTTGTGATATTAAGTTGTAGCAGGTTGTTAAGCCATGCCACGAGCTCTTGTCTGTATGTGCCATGTTGTCAGAGACTGAGAATTCTTCTTGTTAATGAGTGCATTTCAACGAACCTTGATTCTCCCATTTTGAAAAGAAGCTCTTGAATAGCAAAGTGAATGAACGAGCGAGTATATTTTGGTGGATAATCAAATAGACGTCAGTTATGCCAGAAGACAGTCGATTGCGCAAAAAAGATAAGATTTTTCTGAAGAAAGTTATCGCGACCAACGAGATTCTTATTATTTAGGTTCCGTTGACACCTCTGTCTGTCGCCTTAGGTAACCAGAAATCTACAACAAACGAGAAACCACACGTGACCGATGCCCGAGAGGGGGGAAGTGTGGATCGGACTTTCCAGAATTATCTTCGAGTTTACCTAGCTGGGCGTAACATGTCTTAAATTCTCATTAATGCAACTCCCATTGTCAGGTTGGCGTTGAATCCCGATTCATCAAAAGGAGAGCACATAGCACGATCCATCTTCTTGCTCATGATTCCCCTGTTGACAAATTTTTCGATAGCACTTGTAAATGTGTTGGTTGTCCATTATTACTCGCTCTCACACTTGTCCAGTTAGTTCATGGTATGCACGGTATATATATACCGACTAAGCCCTTGCTTGTATTGATTAAATACCAGCTGTTACTCTGAGTTCCAAATCGAGATCAAATGAGACTTCATTCGACGAATGCTACGGGACGTGTCACTCGGGCCAATCGGTGTTGTCGAGAAGGTCAAAGAAGTGCACAATTCACAAGCCAGGGTAGATAGCTTTGTCTTCACAATCTTGCAGAATAGCCACCTTTTGTATCTTGGATAATATTTCTGGTAGGTGGTACACTCCAAAATATTGGAATTGTTTTCATCACCTGCACCTAAGCCGGCTCTCCGGATAAAGGCGCTGCATAATTGAATCTAGGCGTCAGGGGAAACCCCGCAAAAGGCAACGGGTCAGTTTGTGACGAAATATTCAAAGCGGAATGGATTAGAAAAGGAAAGAACATCCATCTTACCGACGACTACAGCACAAGCCTCAGCTGGAGATCTTAGTATCGCTGGAACTTTTCTTCCGTTTGTACTTCTCCTCATTCCACGAGAGGAACCATCTCCGTCCCATGTTTCTATAATTTTGGGAGCTTAATGTGATCGTTCATTGAACTTCCTGTTTTGTCCGCAGAAAGCCCATCCCACCCATGCAAAACATGGTTCTTGAATGATAGGGCAGATCTTACAGCATACACGGTCATGGTTGTTACGGACCTCGGAATGCAAGAATCACAAGTTTCTTCCTTTTATCCTCATTGAATGCAGTTACCTGAAGAAGTCGTCTTGGGTGTACATGCATACATGGTTTCTGTCACCTAGTTTTTCTATATCATGGAACCTCCCCACCCACCAGATTGCAAAAGTACCTACTTTCACAGGACTTATCTGTGAAATAATTCTTGATAGGTTGCACCGTCCTTAAAATGGCGCTAGTCAAGCTCATCTTCTTGATTGTCTCCTTGTGGCTGTTGGGGTTTGCGCAGGCTAAGATACCTTCATTCATACACAAGGCTCCGCCCATCCCCCCATCTAGCGACGAAACAATTGTGAAAAGAGACTCAGTTCCTGCAGGATATGTTGCTGCTCCATATTACCCTGCCCCGAAAGGTGGCTGGGCTAGTTCCTGGACGACTGCTTATGCAAAAGCACAAACTGTGGTGGCACAAATGACATTGGCGGAAAAAGTCAATCTCACAACTGGAATTGGAGAATTGATGGGAAGATGTGTGGGAAACACCGGCTCCGCACTAAGATTCGGTATTCCAAGTCTTTGTTTACAGGATTCGGCACTTGGCATAGCTGCGACCGATAACAATACTGCTTTTCCCGCTGGTATTACCACTGGTGCAACATGGAGCAAAGATTTAGCCTATCAAAGAGGTCTTGCGTTAGGCGCAGAAGCACGGGGGAAAGGAGTCAACATTCTCTTAGGTCCTACAGTCGGTGTGTATGATGGGCATTTGTGACAGATGCACCACGAAGACATTCTTCCGGTCCAGCCTCGGCCAATATACAGATTGCTGACCATATTTAGGTCCAATTGGAAGAAAACCACGTGGTGGTCGAAATTGGGAAGGGTTCGGCGCTGGTAAGAGTTTTTGGAAAGTTTAACATCAGATTCAAGACTAAATTCATTGTCATCTAGATCCTGTGCTTCAAGGACTAAGCGCTGCCCAAACGATCAATGGCATGCAGGCGAATGGTGTCATAGCAACCATCAAACACTTTATTGGAAATGAACAAGAAGCATACCGAATGGATATCATCCCTCATGGTTTGATGAAAGCTCTTAGTAGCAATATCGATGATAGGTACGCGTACCCTTGAATATAGACCCTACCGAAACTAATTTGCAGAACTCTTCATGAATTTTACATGTGGCCCTTTGCAGAAGGTATCAAAGCTGGTGTTGGAGCTGTTATGACAAGTTACAATGATGTGAGTGTATATTTTTGACAAATGCATGAAAATTTTATGATGTTTTGAGCTGGACTATCAATTCTGGTATGATACAAACAAGAAGTCATTCAATGATGAACTCGGCACGTTCACTGGATTTTCAGGTACTCCTTTGGCAAAATGTGATTCTTTTGTGTTATCTTCGTAGACCTTTGGCAACCCTTTACTGACCAAGCAGGTTAATGGAAGCGCGGCAAGTCAAAACTCATACCTGATCAACAACTTGCTTAAGGACGAGCTTGGATTCCAAGGCCTGGTAAGACTCCATATCTATGTACCCCCAAACAATTCTAAATATCCATAGGTAATGACAGATTGGCTATCCCAAATTGGCGGTGTGTCATCTGCTCTTGCTGGCCTCGACATGGCTATGCCCGGTGATGGAGGAATCCCTTTCCTTGGCCAAGCATACTGGGCCTATGAACTCTCGACTGCTATTCTGAACGGAACTGTTCCAGTTGATCGATTGAATGATATGGTTACTCGAATTGTTGCAACTTGGTGAGTGTTCCCTCGAGAAAATGTTTCTCCAGAAATTACCTTGCTTGCAAAAGGAGTTGTTTCAAACATCGACGAGTATCTACATCATGGCTAATCAATACATTACACAGGTATCAACTTGGACAGGATAAAAGTTTCCCGCCACCAAATTTCTCAGCAAACACTTTAGACACTACTGGACCATGTTATCCAGCAGCTTTGCTTTCTCCAACATGCACGGTTAATTCACATGTAAATGTACAATCTAACCATGCAGTCGTTTCTCGGAACATCTCGAGAGAAGCAATAACTATGTTGAAAAACGTCAACAACACACTGCCACTCTCAACATCAGCTGCTTTGAAAGTGTTTGGCTCTGATTCTGCAAATAATCCTTCCGGGCCTAATGCTTGCAGTCAGAGAGGTTGCGATACTGGCGTTCTCGGTATGGGATGGGGTTCAGGTAAGTTACGCCTTATTCAACCCTTTTTTTTTGTAAAAAGGTAAACTAAATCAAGCTCATAGGCACTGCCAACTACCCTTACCTTGATGCGCCAATTGACGCGATTAAGCGAAAAGCTTCAAATGTCTATAGCTCAACCAGTGATAGCTTTCCGTCTGGCCTGACTGCCCTACCAGGAGACATCGCCGTCGTATTCATAAACAGTGACTCTGGGGAGAATTCAATAACTGTGGAAGGAAATGATGGAGATCGCTCGTCGTCAGGACTGTACGCATGGCACAACGGCGATGCACTTGTTCAAGCAGCAGCAGCTAAGTATTCCACAGTGGTGGTAGTTGTTCATACAGTAGGACCGATTCTAGTTGAGAATTGGATAAACCTTACTTCAGTCAAAGCCGTACTGTTTGCTCATTTACCAGGTCAAGAAGCTGGAGATTCATTGACGGATATCCTCTTCGGCGCATACTCTCCTAGTGGACATCTTCCCTACTCAATTCCTGTCTCGGAAAGCAACTACCCATCCTCCCTTGGTCTTGTCGGGTTTGCGCTTGGCCAAGTTCAGGATACCTTCTCTGAAGGATTGTATGTTGATTATCGATACCTCAACAAGCACGCAATCAGCCCTCGCTTTCCCTTTGGCTATGGACTTTCCTACACCACATTTTCTCGAACGGCTACTCTCGCAGCCGGAAAAGCACTCACATCGGTTCCTCCGGCCCGAGCTGCTAAAGGCTCAACTCCAGTATATAGTACTGCCATTCCTCCAGCATCTGAAGTTGCCTGGCCTGCAGGGTTTTCCGCTATTGGACGATATCTCTATCCATACCTCGACAATCCTTCAAGTATCACTCCAGGTAACTTTGTCTATCCCACTGGGTACACCAATGTCTCCAAACCCGACCCCCCATCTGGTGGAGATCAAGGTGGAAACCCCGCGCTTTGGGACACAATGTTCACTCTGTCAGTCACAGTGACCAATACCGGTCTCGTGGCCGGTAAATCTGTTGTCCAGCTGTACGTTCAACATCCTTCCGATTCTACCTATGATACTCCCATTATCCAGCTACGTAATTATGCCAAGACGGATACATTGGCACCGGGAGGAAAACAAGTCGTATCGCTTGCCGTTACGAGAAAGGATATCAGTATTTGGGATGTGACGAAACAGAATTGGGTTATTCCAGTTTCTACCACGAAGCCGTTCTTGTTCTGGATAGGAGACAGTTCGGGGAATCTGACGTTAGCTTGTGAGAGTATTAGTGGGGCTTGTAGTGCGGGCAGAACGCCGCCTGTGGTTTAGGGGGCTTTTCGATGTAGAGTTGGGGGCATTACGTGTTAATACTTGATAATGAGGGCTGATTTCGAGATTGATGTATGAAAAAGTGAAGATTCCTAAAATCGACATATTAGTACCAGGGTACGAAGTGCTATCAATAGGAGCGAAGAATTTCGAATATTGTCCATTGGCAAAAACGAAAGTTCATTGAGTCCAATATATGTGACATTAATTCTACAGCGTGCATCAAATTTCTGCAATTTGATGGTTATATCAACTGGAACAATGGTATCGAGTGTATCGGTTGTAGAATGACTTATCAAGGAGCAGATGAACATTGAAGGTTAAAGAGATTGATTGG